AAGGGTTTTCTAATCATGTGGCACTAAAGACTGGAATCCTACGAGTAGAAAAATAATAAAATTCTTAAAAACGACTGAGAGGGGAGATGGTTTTAAGTCGAAAGAACTAATTTTTGGTTCATCAGTGCTGGCATTAACGTGAAATGTTGATTCTGACATCCCCAACTTTTCCTGAAAAAGTCATCTTGCATTTCTTTGGAGTAAACATCAGGATAGCTTTCTAAAAGGTAGAAAATCCTTACATACCCCCTTTGAAAAAGATAGGATGCATATATCAACCATTTGGGATTTAAATGTATTGGATTTGTTTACATGTTAAGAAAGAGATTCAGCGTGTATAGCTTTGTTTTTCCTCTTTCCTGTTTTCCTGCTGGTCAAATGCTGCTGGAGACTCTGAAGAGACAACAATCACACTGAGTCAGGGAAGCCAAATGAATTTTTGGTCCCTTTGTCTTCATTCCCTACAGGCTGTCTTGCCAAGCAATGAGGCAACTGCATCCTGAAGCCATTGCGTCAATGCAGAGCAAAGTGTTATTCAGCAAAGCGGAGGAACAGCTGCTAAGCAAAGTGGGATCGGTAAGGAGCAATACCCCTGGGTGCCATATCCCCAGCCCTAGTAGCCCTGGCACAAAGCAAACCTGGGTATCTGAGAGCCCCTTTGTATCAGTCTTTAAGGCCTCACAAGTTCTGCTTTTCCCCCCTGTCGCTCCTGGCAATTTCTTCTTAGTGCCAAGAAAGGCTTTTAATGAGAGTTATTCTTTGTTTCTGTAGTTAATACGTAACAGTAGTGGCCAAAATTGTGGAAACCTTTTGGGAAAAGTGTATTTTTGAGGTTTGATGTCTAATAACACCACTTTTTTGGGGGGGAGTAGTACCATACAATTATATATCAATGGAAAGATAATTTAATCAAGAATATAATGCAACAAAGTTTGTTCAATTATCTGTACTGTATTCTATGAAAAGTTACAGCCAAATAACCAGAGAAAGGAAGCACAACTTGCTTAGGTTGATATCAGGTAGCTTTCCTTCATCTGATGGTAGCCAATGAGCATGAGTGTTTAGAGAGCCAATCAGGTGTCATCTTGTTTTGGCAATGAGCCAGTCAGATCACAGTAGGATTCAGTTATCGATGTCATGTATTGAAGCTGAGAGGAGGACATTTGTCAGTGTGTTATGTGATCGCTATCGAGTTGGTTGGGTTTTTTTTTGTGTTCTTTCATTTAGTGAGCTTGTAAAACGTGATAAAATTAAAGTAATGGTGCAAAGAATTGACTGGTTGCCCAGAAAGCAACGTAAAATAGTATTATTAAGTGAACAAGGCTACAGTTATAAAGAAATTAGAAGAAAAATTGGTGGAAACTTAACCAAAGGTGGCATTTCTACTGTACATTTTTCCCAAAAGGTTTCCACAATTTTGGCCACTACTGTATAATACAATGTCACAGGCCAGATTAGATCTGATACCATTGCAAATCTCACTTCTGTGGTTTTTTGGGAAATCTAAAGTTAGTTAAAAAAAACCAAGCTTGAGTTAAATTTAAGCCTTATTAAGACCCTTAGTAGTGAAAATGATAATAAACGCCACTCTGTGTAATGAAGGCTTCCACTTTCACTCTCTTTCTGCTGTTCACCTAGACCAGTCAGCCTACTTTAGATACATTCCAGGACCTGCTGCACAAACACCCAGAGGTTTTCTACCCTTCCCGCACTGCCAAAGTCTTGCAGACCCATTGGCAGCTCATGAAGCAGTACTACCTCCTGGACGATCAAACAGGTAAGGCGGCCTGCTGGTTCCTTGGCTGAGGCTGAGGCTGAGGCTGGGGTCTGAATTCTAAACTACCGTGTGCCCTCTCTGCAGTGCAGCCATTGCCCAAAGGAGACCAAGTGCTCAATTTCTCAGATGCTGAAGACATGATAGACGACAGCAAGCTGAAGTAAGTGAGAAGCTGGTAGATAACTCCCCCCCCCCATTTAAGCCATAGAGCAGGGCTTTTCAACCCCATTTAAGCCATAGAGCAGGGCTTTTCAATCACCAGTGGTACATTGGCACCTGGCAGGTGGTACGCGACCATCCTGAAAAAGTGGTAATGGGGGAGGGGAATGAGCTGACCCGGTGGCAGCACTGCAAAAGCCTGAGCGAGAGATGGCTGGAGCTGCAGGACTGTCAAGGCTCAGCGGAAGCGCCAGGATCAGCGCCAGGGTCCAGCTGGAGCTCAGCGCTGATCCTGGTGCTTCTGCTGAGCCCTGAAGAAGCACCAATCAGCTGGAAAGCAGCACTGATCCTGGCGCTTCTGCTGAGCCCTGAAGAAGCTCCGATCAGCTGGAATGTTGCAGCATCTCCAGGGTCTTATTATTTACATTCAGATGCTTGGCAACTGATTCATATTTATGACGGTCACAGTGTCCCAGGGTCATGTGAAGTGACCAAAACCTGCTGCAACCACCCAGCAGACGGGGAATAAAAACCAAACACCCCCCCACCCCACCCCCGCTGCCAATCCTCAACAGAAATGCTCACAACAATGAAAACTTCGGACAGGAGGAAGAGCGCCACTGGGTGGGCAGGCAGGTGTCTAGCTCGGCTGTGGCTTGGGGGGCACTTTTTTCAGTGCCATTGTAACTTCGAACAGTCACTAAGCGAACTGTTGTAAGTCGAGGACTACCTGAACTTTATCACTTTTTTCCTTTTTTTTTTTGGTTATCAAGTTTTTGACACCTTACTAGGCGACTGGTGGTACTCGGATATTGCCATATCCTAAAAGTGGTACAGTGGGTGAAAAGGTTGAAAAGCCCTGCCATAGAGCATTGTGCCACCAATGTAGCTGGGCTGACTTTAGGGTGGGCAAACATCCCTTCAGTATTTAGAGTGACAGTTTGAAGCCACTCCTGTTCCCTTCCACAGAGGACTGATTGAATGTTCAGGAATTGTGTTGCAATAGAACTTCGATCTGATGACAGTTATTGTCTAGCTTCTACAGCGCCTTTTGTCTATTTAAGTTCTCAGTCCAGGGCATGTTTGTCCCAAAGGTGCTTTTTCAGGAGGCAACTGGACTTTCTTGTCCAACCCCAACGATGCCCTTGACGTGATGGCCCGTTGCCTGGAGGCCGTACGGGTCTGGATGGGGAGGAACAGACTCAGGCTCAACCCCTCCAAGACCGAGTGGCTGTGGCTGCCGGCGCCTCGGCATAGTCAGCTGACCCCATCGCTGACTATAGGGGGCGAAATCTTGGCCCCCTCAGAGAGGGCCCGCAACTTGGGAGT